TGGCCCTTTTTGTGGGCCAAATTTTTTCAAAAACCCCCCCCCCCCCCTCGCACCATTTCAACTTCTTCCACTCATTTTTAATTTTTCTTTTCACACACCTACATTTCACACCATTCCCCATTAGTTAATTTATTCTTTACCCTTACTAGAGATGTTATAAAGAACATTGACTAATTTAAAGTTTGAATAGTTCTGAAGACCGGCTAAGCAAGAAAGAAACTAGCTCTCACTCTAGAGTTCCCACGATTCCCTCAACCTGGGGGCTGACATCTCGTATCAGAACTTAAAACAATAAACCAAGTTGGGGGCTTTAACTTGTTACTTTAAAGTCCTCTAACTCTGCACCCTTCAATGATTATTTCTCTATTTATTTGCACTAAATCATATGAATTACATTCTCATTCATACAATCTCATGTGATTCTTTCCAATTGTTGACTGAGACAATACCCGCCCGGTTCTTACATGTTCTCACAACAAATTTTAACATCTGGATATGTTAAACCAAGAAGTAAATGAAGTACATGGAATTAAATCATCACAACTTCTACCAACATTACAAATTAATAATCTCCACAACTTCCATCCAAGTTGGGGTGCTTCAATCCAGTGCTATAATTGTGTTGCAATTCCTAGCTCTAGGGATATATTGTTGGAAAACCTCAACATAGCGCCTAGCTGATGGGCATGACACAACCACACTCTTATACTTTTCTCCAAATCTTTCATAAATTATTTATGAGGGTTTTCCTTCACAAAAATTTGTAAAATTGTGTTGTATACATAATAAATATATAATAAAGACAAATATTTTAGGCATATTTTTATACTTTTTTCTCACTCAACAAAGATCTAATAAGCAAATCCACTCTGTCGATTTACTCGACAGTCCACCTTTGGTTGATCTAATTGATAACCATATTCAATGAATCTACGGTGAATCGACTTAGCAAGATTACTCAAACAATCATTTTTGTTGATCCTTTGGTAAGTCAATTAGCAATTCTAATCGATGGAACTTTTCAACAAATCAAGGGACTACCCATGTAACATAAGAATGTGGTAGAATACGTGGATCTTATTTACTTAATATTTAGATGGCATCCTTCGCTATATGGCTACCTAATTTCTTGTTTAACAACTTATGTAACTATTCATGAGGCTAAACCAAACTTACAATTATGGGAGGCCCTTCATGAGATGGATGATGAAAAAGAGAAACTTCATCTTAATTTTTACATATATGCTACCTTATCTATAATGAAAAAAATGTACATTTAACTTTTTAAAAGTTAAAATATTGATATTTTTGTTGTGATATTAAATATTTAGTTAACATAAACTTTAAAAAAAAAATTTAACATTTAGGGGTTAGATGCATAAATACAATTGGGTGGTAGAAGAATAATCAAATTCTTGTGATGCAATTTGGTATGTATTTAAATACCCCCAAGAAAGAATTATCAACCTCTTCTCAAGTCTTTTATGACTTTACTTTGGGATGTGGAAAACCTTTATCTTAGGAGCTAAATAAATTGACAAGTTGGGTAAGAATTGAATTGAATATCACATGCTGCCACAACTTTAATTGCTCTCGATAGTAACCATCAGTCTTGCCAAGTATCAAAGCAACATAAATCATAACAATTATTCATCATCAAATGTAAGAAGCCATCACAAATAGCATTATTTGGATACTATCACTCTCAATCAAGATACAACTCTAAACTGGCAACTGGCCGGAATCAGCCGCCGGCCGGCAACACACTTATTCAAATCAGTGAAGCTCATCTCAATCCCACACATATCCTATTCTATTCGACCCCAAGCTTCTTTCTTCGTGAGCTTATAAACTCAGACACCTTCTTAGGATCAGGGAGAGACTGAGCGACACTCTCCCGCTTCAGGCAGCGCTTCCCCCATGCCGCTAGCTTGGGGAATTCCTGCTCCACGCTGAAGTCGGCGAAGGACTCGAAGCTGTAGAACCAGGAGGTGAAAGGAACTAGTGCGATGTCCACCAACCCAAAGTCCTCGCCTCCGAAGTACTTGTTCTCCCCGAGCACCGCCTCAAGCGTTCGCAGGTTCTCCGTTAACTCCTTCTTGGTCTCCTCACGTTCCTCGCCCTTCCTCAGCCTTGATAGCCGGATGGCACAATCGAAGGTCTGGTAAGCCAAAGCAGAACACAAAGTGTTTGATAAAATGTCTGTTTAAGCCAGAGAGACGATATGATAGGGAATAGGGATTGGAGTAGGCCACCATTTATGATTTATTACCTTTTTGTCAATGAAGTCAGCCCAGAAGCGGGCAAGGGCGCGGGCGTAGGGATCGGAGGGGAGGAGTGGGGCTTTTCCTCTGCTGGGGAAGACCTCGTCAATGTACTGGACTATGATGAGGGATTCGCAGATAGGTTTACCGTGGTGGAGCAGCACGGGGATCTTCTTGTGCACCGGATTTGATTTCAGCAGAAGCTCGCTCTTCTCCGCGAGATTCTCCTCCTTGTACTCGTACTCCAGCTCCTTTTCCGCCAGTGCGATCCTGCATCGGATGTTGAAAGGGCTGATCCAGAAACCCAGCAGCTTCAGTTCCTTCTCTGCTGCCATTGCTCCTTCTGCTTCTCTCTCTGTCAGCTCTCAAGATTGATTTGAAGATAGAGTGAGATGAAATGCGAATTAAGCGTTGGTATTTATAGGACTGCTCCGGTCATTAATTGTAGCTTCATTGGCTTGTCCTCCAAGAGTTTCCACACTGTTGTCATCGCTTGCGTCAGAGAGGTTGGATTCAGTTGAAAGTTCCAACTTTTGCTTTATTTATTTAAACGAGGATGCTCCAAGTCAGAGATGAACGTAGGAATTGATGGTAAACATTAATATGACTAGATTTGTAATTGCAAGGATTCAACTAGCAATTGATTTAGATGATAAATTTGATTGAATTCTCATTCAGATCTAGAGCGACTATATTTGCATTCTACAAGTCTAGTTGGTGAAAAAAAATTACAATTTTTCAAATCTATTGGATGAGAGAGAAAAAAATTACAATTTTTTAAAACTCAACTAAAAGGTAATACATGGGAAACAAATTTTCAAATCTATTTGTTTGTTGCTTTCTTCTTTATCCTTAATTTTTTTTTTATTTGATTTCGATTATTGATTTGGTTTTTGTTGTGTTTATTTGTCTTTTTTGCAGGGCCTCTCGTATGGTTGTGGATCGTTTTTTGAAAGATTTTGGATGGTTGCGGTTTGGAGCTCAATTGTGGCTTGACTGTCTCTAGTTTTTGCATCTTTTCTTTATCTATGTTGTATTTTGTTACATTTTTGTGAAGTTTTTTTTGTTTTCGGATAAAGTTGAGCATCACCCTCATATTTTTTCAAAAAAAAAAAAAAATTCAACAAAAATGTGTGGTCCATATTAAAATATCTGAATTTCGCTCTTGAATTTCACGAGTTCCAATCAAGAGGCATGGAATTTTTGGAGTTATTTCTTTGATTTAACCATCAAAATTTTTACTTATTATCACTAATGTGCATACGAGATTTAGGTATATTTAAATCACAAATTGAAGGTGTTGATAATAGGTTGATACCATCAAATCACTACCTTTAGCTTTCCACAACTACTCACTTATGGTAGAATATACTCGTGAAAAAAAAAATTGGAAGTCATAATACAATACTAAATAAAATAAATTTTCGATTAGAATAAATATTTGTTCTCTGATGTTAAACTTCAAATTCTAAAATCTCACAGTTAATCTCACTGTGAAGGTGTCGGGCAAACTAAAGTGCATGTATTGACCAAGTAATATAATGTATTTAAGTACGAGATCTTTCTCATGAGGATAGTTAGTAAATTTTAACGTGCAAGTTAAGCACTAACTCAAAGCCATATTTTCTATTCAAACTAAAAACATTTTGAAAATAGATTTTTAATTTTTTTTAAATAATTATGCACCAAAATATTTAAATATCCTATGAGTTTATAGTTTAATAAATCAAAATTTGTGATAACGTTTTCATGAAGAAATTAGCAATCAATTAGGAATAAGAATGACTTAACGCCTCTCTTGAAATCATAAAACCCTAGTCTCAAAAACCCCAATGTGATGTACAAGCAATTAGTGATTTTAAGAATGAAATGTTCTTTTTCCATAATGATTTAATGCCTACTTCAATGTCCAAATCCCATTGCATTCAAGATTGACCATGCTATGTCATTCTGGTACAAATATTTGGTCCCCATAACCTTTCATGAGCTTAAACTTAGCCCCCATTTCCTATAAATACCCCTCAATTTCCTTGATTGAACGTTGTTCAACTGTTGTTGAACTCTTGTGAAAACTTGCAGACCAATTGTCCAAACTCCCTCAATTTGTTCCTAAAGCCTTCCCTACCCCCTTGACACTCT